TATATATATATATATATATATATATATATATATATATATTGATTGTCCTTTTTTACTACTCTTCCCTCGTGCCAGCATCGTCTGCTTAAGGCAAATAATTTCACTTCTCGACGATGGAAGACTTCTAGTGAGCGGCGATCTTTTCGAATAGGCGGTAGAATACTACGAAGGGGGAGGCAAAGAGAAGGAAAATTAATCGATGCTGAAGTCGTAGGTCGACATAGGTGTATTCGAGCACACGTGTGCGTCGTTTGATGTTTGTCTCCATAAATAAAAATACAATAATGAGTATGTACAGTGTCTCTCTCTCTCTCTCTCTCTCTCTCTCTCTCTCTCTCTCTCTCTCTCATTTCGAAAAGGAATCGCTCTTAAAGCACCGCGCATTGTAGAAGTACCATACTTTTTCTCAAATGTGTACTCAGTAGGCTACTGCAAATTTAAGAACTTCTCCAAATTTCGCGAGTTTCTTTGTTTTTAAAAATATTCATATGTCATGTCTATTGTAACTCCTTTCCAATTGAATGCAAGTGATTGATTTTGCACTGCACTTGTCCAGTAACTTTGACTTCTGTGATACGAATTATGGATAATATACGAGTTTTATAGAGATTCACAAAACAGTTGACTTTCTATATAAATACTTTTTCTAATTTCTCTCTTTTTGACAAAACGATTAAGCTCGGTTAACTACTGCATGGAACACTTTCTTGCTTTCAAACGTATATCGCAAAGTTCTTTATATGCTACTTTGTTTTTATAACTGTTCTGTCGTTAGGATAGAAAAATAAAAAAAATGATTCCGACCGTGACAGGATTCGAACCTGCAATCTTCGGATCCGAAGTCCGACGCCTTATCCGTTAGGCCACACGGTCTATTGAAGGGTAGCTACCCCATATGTGAAGATCCAGTATTCGAACTCATCAAAATCATCCTCTAAAATAGTTAATAATTCTTATATATTTCGTAGACTTTTTTCATCTAAATGTACAAAATTAAAAGAGATAGATTATTATATGTACACCAGAATGAAAATTTTAAATAAAACAAATTTTTTCAGTGATAGATAATTAGCTTGATTGATAAATTATTTTATGTACAAAGATTATTAAGCATTTATCCGAAACAATTTGCACTTTGTATCTTTCCTTCTATATCTGATGCCTTAAGATTATTCAACACAGGTTTATTATACACGATGACACAATGTAAACAGATCAATATTACTGTACTAGTCACAGTGGAGAGAGAGAAAGATAAAATTAGTTCCGTCGGTAAACTGGATAGTTTTTCATACTCGAATATTCAATACCCAAAAGCAACAAATATTCACTCAGTATCCAAATTCGCGAATACTACTCAAGTACACAGATATTCGAATACCTAGAATCAAAAATGGTAAATGATAACCGAGGAATGCTTATCTACTGTTATTGATTTTTGTAGCAGCTGATTCTGTCTAATGTTAATTTAAAGTGATTTTAAATAATTAATTAAATTAAAGTGATTTTGTTGATTCTCTAAAGTATTAAACATACTGATCATGGTATTTGACGATTAGAGACTAAGGGAGTACCCGAAAGACTCGAGTATCCAGATCAAATAAATACCAGTATTCTGACGTCATTAATTAAAATAGTTTCAAGACAATTCAACACTTTATTATAATCAAATACCATTATTTTCATCGCAATATTTATTTTTTTTTTATAAATATATAAATGTATATTAATATTTTCTCTCTTTCTTAAAATTTATCTACGGTCGATAAAAATGAAACGAAATTAGAATAAGAAAGATCGAAAAGCTCCATTTGTAAACTAATCATAAAACAATTGAATTGCGCGTCAATACGAGATAGAGGATTAATTGCAAGTCTAACGAGACGTTCGTGCGTTTCAGTTAACTCCTTATACTTGTGTGTTTATCGAGAAATAAATCACTAGAACCATATATACATGAATTTATTGCACTCTGAGTATAGCTTTGATTTATCTCGCCATATGCAATCCATGTTATTTGTACAATTCCCTTATTTCGCAATATACCGGGTGTTCACGTCTGACGCGCGTTCATCGATGAATTTTAAATCAATTTCCCCATCAGAAAGTTTTAAGGCTTTCTAGGTTGTGCTGCCTACTCTAATAACATAATCTCCCTAGCGATACCGCGAACTGCACGCAACACGTCATATACCTCGCGTAAATAGGTTAATCGTCTACCTAAACGTCTGACAAAACGAGCTGTTTCCAGATTCGATCGTCGGCACTGTTCAATTGTCACGCTTCGGAACGAAAGTGGGCAGGAAACGGATCGTAAAAGCGCGGGAAGACAAGCCCATGCTGCGCGCGTATATACACGTGGGTTGAAATAAAACGAAGTTATTCCCGATGTACGATACGACGTGGCCGGGGAATTGCATGCCGTCGTCGTAGAATCCCACTATTGTCCCGCGGGCAATTAGCATGCCCGGTCCGACTCTCCTCCTCGCAGCAGCGGGAGGGGTGAATACATTAAAACGCTCCTCGCAGCAACATATCCCGCCGGATATTCACGGCAAACGTACGCGTGGGAGAGCATATATTCCTGCGAATCTGTGCGAGCGTATGATACACGAAGCATTGGAGTACAGAGAATATCTGGATACCCAATACGTCATTACACCGTGCGACCTTGCGGGAAAAGTGGCATCCGCGCACAATACTTGGTACTGGCGTTGTTAAGTATCGATTTGTCCATCGTGATATCCAAAATGATGCAAAATTCCAAAAGACTTGATATATTCTGCTCTGTTTAATATTATGCACTAACTTTCCAGTGCGAGCGTGAACAACAGTGATATTAATATACAAGCATCCGGTTCTTCATTATTCGAGCATTTGAATATCGTTAGTTATTAGTTTAAATAGTATTTTAGAAAAACAGAAGATGAAATCTTTACACTGACAGTGTTAGCTGACAATTTACGTGAAATTTTTATAAAATTTGGATAATCACGAAAGTTGTTACAATAAAATACAGTTACAATATTTAAGATACAGATATATACAATATTTAAATAATATTGAGTTATGACGTGGTTATTACATAATAAAAAAATAGATGATTCCACAATGAAAAACGAAAGTTTAAAAAAAAAGGAAATAAAAAATAAAAAAATATTTGATCTACTTGAATTCGTGTCGTTCAAAGTGAAATTCTATATAATGAGATATTTGGACGTTTATATAAAAATATTAAGTTAATAATGTAATGTTCGAATAAATCAAGATGAAATTAAAAAAAAAATTGTGTCAGAAGTGGGATTCGAACCCACGCCCTCAGAGAGGACCAGAACGCTCTTGATCACCCGTCGTGGACGGGTAAGGTTACAACACCTTGAGTCTGGCGCCTTAGACCGCTCGGCCATCCTGACACGCGATGGCCAACAGCAAATTTAGCTTTATCCGTAACCACATGTCTTCAATTGTGAAACATTCTGAGAAATGTTTCAAAAAAGATTCAATACAAAATATCATTGATATTTAGTATATATGACCCAATAATGATAATTTAGTAATTCGTTCGTATATATATGCTGAGCTTGAAATAATTACATGATGGATTTTGTCGGATAACCTGTGTGACATATATATGTACACTTAGCGTCATATGCATGGCTACTATGACTAAAGTTGCTTGTACGATTTTCAGCCTTTTACGTATAAGGTCGAAAATTGTATAATTTACATACATCGTATACATAATCCTAGTTGTAACACCGTATACATAATCCTAGTTGTAACGTCGTATACATAATCCTAGTTGTAACGTCGTATACATAATCCTAGTTATGATCAGACATTTATTACACTGTGTAGATCCGTATTAAAAGTTAGTTACAATTTTTCCTCTCATAGTAATAAAAAAGCTTGCTGCCACGATATATCTCTTTCCATCTCTGCGCTTCTGGGTAATGTTATATGGCTACAATAAAATTGAGGCGTGCAACTGAACGCTTAGGAGTGCTATCAACATTGTTATGGCCTCTCTTCGGTTTTCGTATCTAATTTTATGACCTATGGTTCAGGGATGCCGGCTTGCAGCAGGCAAGGCATATATTCAACTGAAAAACAGACTGAGATTAAGATATCTGCAGTAACTAGAATGTGAACAGGATCATTCTTTCTTTTAAATATTTTAAATTTATTATTATATGCAGTGAAAGGGCACACATGGGATCTGTTTGTTAGGGCGTACCGGCGAGGACTATAAAAAAGTTGAAATCCGTCGTTGAGCCGATCCATGACAATAAATCGTAAATGTGAGCTCCTCGTTCCCTTATTATTATTTTGTGGTGCCTTTTTTCACGTGGTCAGAGAAGAGACAGGAGACAAGATACACCGGTTTGTTTATAAAGAAGTGTAATATAAGACTGAGTTAGAATGAAGGACTATCTTTGTACCTTTACTCTTTCAATCTCCTGTTCTCTCGCTTCTTCTTTCTTTCTATCTTCCTCTCCAGCGACAAGCAAATTCCGCAGAGAGTTGGGTCCAAGGAGAGAATACGAAATGAAGCTGAACTTTTGAAAGTGAATAGCTAACATGTCTGTTGGGAATATAATATGTAACGATAAAATTTATTTTGGAGTTGAGTCATTCATCAATACAGCTTCTTCCACAAACTAAATCACACATGTTTTAATTATTTTAATTTTAATAGTTTAATTATTGTTAGTGGCTTCACTCTCTGATGTCATCAATTTAGTTTACAAAATAGCCATAGTACTTTTTATTAAACCTTCTCTTCATATAAATTTTCCAAATTGCTTTTAAATTTATCTTTTTCATAGAAAATAATCAATATAAAATCAAATTATGCCACTCATTCGGAATATCTTTAATCACTGAGGTTCTTGGAATTTCCGACCGGACACCCTATATACCGCGCGGCATCGTGCGTGAGCACGCATAGGGTTAGGTGTGTGCGGCGAAGCTGTCGCGAGTGGCATGGCACGGTTCATCGACCAGCGGCTGCTTCGCTGAGTATGGGCGAGCAGTTGTAAGTCTCTCGGTCATCCTCTTGCGCCCGTCCGCCTTTTTCCTTTGTTGCGCTACGTCGTGTACCGTACACCAGTTTCTGTGAGCACCAGCTGCGCCATCGCACATGGACACGTCACTACGCGACTTTTGCGCGATGCCGGTGGCGAACCGCAAATTTCGACATCGAGATGTAATAAATTGAGCTGTTTCTTCAGCCCTAATGATAATATTACGCTAATGCCACTAAATTGAGTTATTCTCGAAATCGTAACACAGACATTCTGAAAGTTAGTAATCATTAAAAGATTTCGAAACATAAATTTAGATAATGTCACATGGCAACGCCATATCTCCCGTTTGTATCCTGAGTATCTCATGAGAGGGAGAGAGCCTGAGTTTGACTCGCTATTATTCATGGAGAATTGATGGGAATTTTCTATGTCGCTTCAAGTTTGAAATAGAAATCAATTCTTGCGCAAGTTAAATAAATATATTATAGATAAAGCAAAAATATGATTTTTTAACTTAAACTCTTTTATACTACAAATAAAACCTTACGATTTTGTGATTTAACACTAAATATGGTGGTAAATATGGTGCCTGTTTAGACGGCAGTATAATGAAAAAGATGGTAGCGCAAACCCAAGGAAACTCATTAAAGATAAATTAACGGAGCATTCGCTCTTCACGGATTTACTAGTAATAATGGTAACAACTGTCATTAACTGATATTACACGTTAGTAGTTGCGGAACGTGTAGTAAAACACAGTACGAAGATGCTCGCTTGCATACGCTAGCTATACGAGGTGTCTCAGAAATCAGTTCTCAAAATTTTCCTTCAAGAACTGATTTTTAACCTTGAACTCGAGCGTTGACAGCCAACGTTATCTCTTGGAATTTAGTTAGTTTCTTGAGTGAGATTCTCGCTCTCCCTCTCATTGCGAAGAGGGGTAATTTTACACAAAATTGATGCATGCAAGCGATCCATGATGGCGAAACGGGCTATTATGTTAATGGAGAATACCTGAAATTAGTGGTATCAATATCCAGGTACCCAGGTACTCGAGTACTACCCAGATAGTCTTTCGGGCGTTTTCCGGGTATTCAGGTACCTGGGTAATATGATTAGTACACACTGCCTTAGTATTAACGATGATTAACCCACAAACTATCAAAAAGAACAAAAGACGAAATCAGTCGATGCAACATCAATTACTACGGAAATTAATATAAGACAGATAAGTATTACTGGCTGTGATTTCTTTACTTCGAGCGTCGATTATTTCGAATAATCAATCAAGTGGTATCAGTAAAGATCAAATAAGCAGTCAAGTGTCTCCAAATATAGGGACTAATTGGTTTATGCTAAAACTCCTCGATAAAAATTTAAAGATTATCAATAATTGATAACAGATATTGTTTGCGGGACTTATATATTTAGAGACTGGTCAGTCTCTTCTGGGACACCCTATAGCTCGGAGCCGGGCACCGAACAACCTTCGATGAATACGTCTGCGTGTTTTCAGCATGGAAACTCGGCACTGCACGAGGCATCGTGGCGTGGCTACAGTCGGACCGTGGCGGTTCTGGCGAAGGCCCTCGGGACCCAGCGGGCCCCTCTGCATGCTAGGAATCTCGCCGGATTTGCACCGCTTCACCTCGCCTGTCAAAACGGCCATAATCAAAGCTGTCGAGAGCTCCTCCTAGCCGGCAGCAATCCCGATCTTCAGAATAACGTGAGCGATCTGCCGATTCCTTACCATCACTTTATCGCGCACTTTGCGGCGCAAACGATAAGGATAAGAATGAAGGGAGGAATTTAGCGCTAATATCGCGTTTGAAGCCAAGCATCTACGTTCTCTGAAATAACTGTATGCAATGATGTAGTACAGTTGGAACATTTTCATACGAATGTGTGAGGATAACTGTATAAAACGAGTATACACGTCTGAAGTGAACTGCAATTAAGAATATTTTATCCTCCTGATTGGTAACGCGTTTCTAACGAAAGACCTTGTCGATAGCGTATCGCTATTTTCGTCACGAACCGATGAAAATTATTCAACTTGGTGTAACGTTATAAAATTAGAAAATTGGAAAGAATTTTTAAAGGAAAATACATTCCTTTTTTTGTTAATAATTTTCCACGTATAGTGCCTCATAGAATTTTCGTAATAATTATTCATACTTCAAAGTTTTTAAATATTATCCGTATGTTTCAGTATGGCGATACTCCATTGCATACTTCCGCACGTTACGGTCATGCCGGAGTAACGCGCATACTGATCTCAGCTCTGTGCAGGGTGTCTGATCAAAATAAAGTAAGTATGACGTTTCCTTCTCGTCCCAGGTTTATTATGAACCATCGACTTCTTATTCCATTATTGCACGACGCTAGCTATTTATTTCTTCATTATAGAATGGCGATACCGCTTTGCACATAGCTGCAGCGATGGGTCGTCGGAAGCTAACGCGAATTCTTTTGGAGGCCGGCTGTGACCGAAGTCTGCGAAATAAACAGGCCGAAACGGCGAAGGACATCGCCCGTCGTAAGAACCTTTCCGAAATCCTGGACATTATCTCTAAGGCACGCGGTAAGAGCCGAACGCGCAGCAAGAGCCGCGAGGACGACTCAGTCGATGGAAAAGTGGACGACGGTAAGGCCAAAGTCAAATTGGACTAGGAGAATTTGCATTACGGTTGTTTTCTAAGATATATAATCAATTAAGAAATCGTTAATAAGAATCACGCAAATTGACAGTTGCGATCAATTGTTTTTTGCTGAATAAAAATATTGGAAGATAATAATGTACAATACAATATTCATAATTGATCTGATAATTTTCGTTAGGTAAAACGAAGAAGCGAGAGAAGACCGGGAGCGGTACCAGCGGCGGTGGCGGTAGCAGTTCAAAGAAAGACCGGAAGAAGCACAAGTCCAACGGCAAGCAACACAAGGTTCGCTTCGAGAAGGCTATCATGGGTCGGCAATGGTCGCCTTATGGTTGTCACTATTACCCAGACCCGGAAGCGTTTCCTCAACCTCGTCTGGACTCGTTGCCGGCCGATCCTTTAGGACGTGGTGAACAGTACTACTTGGACCTAGCTGGTAATATCAGGAAGGGTCCGGTGGGCGTGGGATACACGTGTTACTGTGCACCATTCTTCCGTCACATGGAGGCAAAGCTGGAGCGAGACAAAGCGGAGTTGAAGGCGCACATTGATCAGGCTCACGAGAAGCTGGATCTGAAGGTGACCAATCTGGAGAGAAGGACTAGAGGCCAGATTTCGGAGTTGACTAGGTGCGTGCAGGAAGAACGAACCAGATGCAATGAGAGGCACTCGCAGCTTCAGCAACGTCTTCAACGAGGTGGCAGAGGTAGATATAGCGAAAGACCAGCGAAAACCAACTACAACCAGCACCATGAGGTGTTGCTACCGACTAGGACCAGGTCGTTGGAGGATTTGTTGGATGATCGGCCGCAAGATCGTAGCTTCGAAATCCCTGGAGAAACACCAGTTCACCGCGGTAGCCTGGACGATCTCGATATCCCAGCTATACCCAGACTTAGCACGTCCATGAAAGACCTACCTTCAGGTTCTGGAATGGTCAGATCGACGCTCAGAGTGTTGGATATATCTCCGAGACTCAATGAAACGTTTGATGGCGTCGTCAGGCAGGATAGAACCTCGCCTTTGGGGGCAATGCCGACGCAGTCACCTCTTGTGGAGGGCAGACGTCAGCAGAGGGTAAGATTAAATTGCAATCGCCGTTGTCTTTCTATGAAGTGAATAAAGAATAGACGAAGACTGCGAATTAAAAGTCTCTTGATTATCTAAATATATAAATGTTAACTGAGTTCCTTTGTTTCATGTGTTCTCAAGGGCTGCGTGTCGTACGACATGCACGTTATGAATATGTCCATGGATGAGAATAAGATTCACAAAATCGGCGACGGCAACACTACGGAATGGAGCGGTGGTCGCCGTAGTGTTCACGAGATGATCAAACGGTTTCAGCAAGTACCTGATATGCATAACGGCTGGCGAGGAATTCGTTCTGGAAGTAGCGAGCCAATCAATTTGGGCGAGCATGCCAAGTGTTCACAAAGTCAGAGAATACATCCTCAAGGTAGCGTGCCTTAAATAATCAAATTTATTTAATTTACTAAATCACGTGAAAAACAGTATAGATGATTATTGAGAGAAATGATGGGTAACCTTGGCTCAAGTTCAGAAATTGTGGAACTATGGAATTGTGAAAGCTATATAAATCTTTGGCAAAATTATTCTCGACTTGAACTTATCCGTTCTCGACTCGTTCTCGTCGTAGGTAATGACAGCGAGAGTAGCGAAGGTGAAGATGACGACGCCGAACAACCCGAAGCGTACAAGGGAGCTAATTGTAGAAAAACTGGAATCCCTGAAGACGTGCATTACGACAGCATCGCGAGGATGCCTTACAGATCACGCAATCCTGTGTACAGTCCAACACCACCTTTGCACGACACTCACAACGATTCTGGGTACAGCACTCGCATGTATGGCTCCAGCAAGGGTGCGTCGCCTTCTTTATCAGGTATGTACGAAAAGGTCAAGTTTCATACGTATAATATATACAGTTTAAATATATAATTTTATTAATGATATGTATTTGCATGTTATTATTAATGATATGTATTTAACAAAATAAAACTTTACTTTAAATCGAGTTTTACTTTTACCTTAAATTAAGCATTCCTCATTAAAAATCAATGCATTAAGAATAAGATGTCATATGTTTAATCATGTTTTACCTCTGTTCAGGTCAACTAGAGTGCGATGTAATCCTGCCACCTTCGACAGGATCATTCGCGAGTGGAGAACAACTCGCTGTCTTATTGGAGCAACCGAGAGGACACGATTTAACGGTTTATGAGCGAAACGTTGATAATGTCGTAATCAATATCGGCACTGCTAGTCTGGTTTAGCCGTCACACAACCGACATTTTATAGCTCTAACTGGAAATGACTTCAAAATGTAATTACGTCACACTGTACATAAAATATATCGGTTACTCCAAAAATATTGAAGCAATGACAGGGAGTTAGATTATTATTATTTCGTCATATTTGCCGTGTCGTTACAATATCACGAAAGCGAACATTGAAATGTATATATTACAACTATCTTCATAAGTCGTTGTCTATATTATTTCTATCGTTAATATCATCATGATAAGTGTTATACATCCGTCCACGTTGCCATGACCTCATTTTAAGATAAAAAGGAACATTAAATAAAAACAACAGTATTTATTATTCGTACTATATGCGTATTGTGTGTGTCATGTATATGTATGTATGTATACGCGCACGAAGGTAAATGTGTATAATATCGATATTGTGATCAGATATAGATAAAAAACAAATTCTACGATATTTTGATTCGACTTATACTGCGCAATCCTTGATAACTTATTAACTAAGAGACATGATCACTAGTTGCGTACACATTTACCGTGATATGTACATGCGATAACTTCAGTATGTATGTGCAGTGAAATAATAAACAATATTAATTCGAACATATATACATAAATAAATTTCAATTCTGGAATTATCCGTTTTTATTTCCAGTAATTTTTAATATTTCAATATTTTAATAATTCAACTATATATATAATCTATATGTACATATATTTAATTATTTAATTTTTAACACAATCATAATCATTTTGAATCATAATCAGAATCACAAAGAAGAAATCTAATATTCCTTCAGCTTACTTGTTTCCAAGATACTGGTGTGTTTTACGAAGATGTTCATTAAGATTTTAACAACGATAGCTAGGAAATATGCTGTGACTATGATGCACACTGTAAGAAATCCGTAAATGTCAATCAGATTTGTCTGCCACCATGGCATATCCATCGTTGGCGAGCGCAAGATATTCTGACCGTTGCGAATCACGTATTCGGTCCAAAAGTTCGCTACTTCTTGCGGTTTTAATGGTCTATCCTTAAATTTGAATGCCTCGCGTTTCGCAGACTCCCTGAAATGCAAATTGCATAAAATCAAGAAATAAGCTTTATCTTCAGAGTCCTGATCTTAGTGTTGTTTTCCCCACTCCAGGTGCCCGAGCGCCGCGAGAGACATGACAAGACATTGTTTTAATTTTAACAATTTATTGCAATATTTTGTTATTCATTATTACAGATTTAATAAATAATATATTTTTACTGTACACGATGGTGCATACTATTTGGTATGCTAGATCGTATGCGGCGTACTCGGCTTTATCTCTCGCGGCGCTCAAGCGCTTGGAGTAGGAAAAATAGCACCGAAATCCGGACTCTGCTCATCTTAATTTCATATATCCGTATATATCGTTAGTCAATTAATCTTTTGAAATAGATTAGATTAAATTGCAAGGTTCATTAGATTGCAAAGTTGATTATTAGATTGCAACGTTGCATTTTTTATTACTTACATATAGCTGGAATTATTTAACACAGTGTTGAGTGCAGCATCCATTATTTTTTCCGATAACTTGTCGTAGTACAATTTGACACCCATACCTTTATATACAAACATATTAATATTTCGGTGTTGGTCTGCGAACAATGGGATTCCTATCACAGGTACACCATAGTAAAGTGTTTCTATTGATCCCATTGCGCCGCCATGCGATATAAATACCCGTGTATTGTGATGTCCTATGTGAGAAACATCGAAATAATAGATTTTTTTTAAATCAATTTACAAGATTTACATCTTCGGTTCAGTAATAGTTTGTTTTTTTTTTAATAAATTCCTATTTAAAGATTATAAAATATGTGAAAAAGTTTATTAAAGAATGTAAAATGAGATAAAGAATAACAATAAGAGTTTGTAGTGGAGTTTTAACGTTTAATTATCAATAAATCTCACGCAGTACTGCCGTCTGTGGTATCCACGGTGACGTCATAACATTGCTAGGAAGACCAGGAGGCAGTTCGTGTTTATTTCCAATTTTCATCAGTACTTTAATGGGCGCAATTTTTCTGAAAGATTCATATAACCCGAGTAGAGAATTGTTTGGCAACGTTTCGATGTTCACCAATGAACCTAAAGTGAAATACACCACGCCGTCGTCTGCATTGTTCATCCATTCTTGTAACTCCTATATAAATTTAAGCTAATTGTACATGAACTGTCAGTCCCTCGCAGCGGAGCTCTTGACTAATGACGTCAAAAGCGAGAACATGCATGTTGCGAAATTGTTGAAAAATACGCTGAAATAAAAGGTCTATAAAGAGACCCTTGAAATCGATTAAGTATATTTGTAAAATATTCCGAAAATTTTTCTTTTATTCTAACAATCAATAAATAATCGCACAATTAATGACGTGTAACCTTTCTTTTTTAGGCTATCTTTCTTTCTGACTTTGTCATGTTAATTTTGTTGTTATCTCTTTATTCCTCAGAGTCAGAAATTTGACTTTTTGTAGTTGTTTGTAAATTATACAGCCTTTATAAGTGGCTGGATGATTTCCTCCGCTTAAGATGTATTTTACTTTATTAGAGCTTTCTTTGTACAACCGGATATTCTGTGATTACCTGCAAGTGGAGAATGAAAGCAAAAGTTCTTTGTGTAACCATATCTTTGGTAGTTCATACATTGAGGTGTTTCACGTTTGAAACGTTGCTTCAAACTTCATTTTTGTGTTTAATAGATATTTAATCATATAAATGTTTTTATTATTTTCATCTGGCTTCAAATCCACAAAGAACAACGGTAGAAGCTTTATTATTATTCTTTGGCGCATGTTTATAATATTTAGTACCATGTGATCGACTTTTTAGTTCTTTAGTTCTTTAGTTCTTTATCAATTTCAGTTGAATGGTGCATCTTTCGTAGAATTACTCGGAAAAGTTTCTCTTGTTTTTTTCTGGTAGGTATGATATTCAGTTTTCTTTTAAGAATTTAATAATTATATCATAGGCCTCATGGTTTTAACTTGAATCTTGACTTATTCTTGACTTTGCACTTTAATAGTGTAATTGTTTGAATGTAATTAAATTTAGTATATGTTCATTAGCGGACTAATATTATTGACTTCTGAGATAAATATAGGTGGAGCTATTACAGGTTTAGCAATATCTATACTTTCCGATTCTTCGGATTCCTGGTTATCTAGATATATGTATTTGTTTGCTACACTAATTGACTCACTGACGTCAGTAGTCGACTACGTGTTGGTTTTGAATTGTGTCGTATGTTATTATTTTCTAATTGGTTTTTGATAGTTTATTCTTTTAATCTCTTGCCATTCTCTTTGTTTTCCTGTGGTATGCAATTTCGAAATTAACATATCATCGTTAACACATTATTGTGAAATGCTTGGCTGCGATAATAACTGTCCTGGCGTATCTCACAGTATTTGTTGCAACACAGCTTTTATCTGCATATACAGAGTGATTAAGAACAACTTTTTAATATTAAAAGTACAAGATCTTGACAAAATTCTAAGACACTTTTTTCTTTGGCAAAAGTTCGGCAAGCACACGTAATTGTAAAGTTATTACCAAAAATAGTATGCCAAAAATGATATGTCAAGCCTTACCAAACCTTAGAAAAAACACATAAATAAACACGTGTTTCTTCCAAGGATTATTAAGGACATGCTTGCCGTGGGTGTGCGCGTGATTGCAACATTACAAGTTACGACATTGCCAGTTAGAAGAATTTTCCTATGCACAATAGAAATTGTGTTTGTAATGAATATTGAAACGCAGATAATGTGACGAAGAACTGACTGCTGCGAGCACCCGTCATTAGCGCCCACGTGTCACGGTGAGCTGCGCCGGCTTTGCCTGAACCCGGCCCGTAATAACTATTTTTGGCAATAACTTTACAATTACGTATGTTTGCCGAATTTTTGCCAAAAAAGTGTCTTAGAATTTCGTCAAGATCTTGTACTTTTAATATTAAAAGATTGTTTTGAATCACTCTGCTCTCTTAAAGTAAATCAGTAAAACATTATTAAAAGCAGTAAATATACACTGATTTGCTATAAGTATTCTGCAGCTGAAACTGCTCAGTACTATATTTATAACTGATATCAGTGGTTATTCACTGATTTACTTTAAGAGAGTGTACGTAATGTTATAAATTATTGTCATCTATGAGGACGTTATACGATAGTATTATCAGTCTGCTGACCCTGATGCCCGGCAATTGATTGTTAAAGCAGTTTTCGAAATATTTTGTAAATATGCTTAGTCAATCCCAACGTCGTCTCGACATATTCTGCAATAATTTTGGACATACGCTTTCTCCCTTCTGACTATTATTATTATTCTGTATTCTTCTCTATTCATTATTCTGTTATTAATCAGGAATGCCGCGGTGAGGACACAGGAATCTTAATGAATAGAAAATCAACAGATATATTCGACTGAACGGAGTACTTAATAAATGATCGATAATTAATAAAAATGACATTACGTGTGTATTATTGTATCTTAGCTGTACCTAACAATATACACCGATCAAAGACATCAATGCTTTTGCTTGACTAATTTTAGTGCAATAAATTTTTTATTTGTAACATACCGGGGTTAATTGCGATTGATCCATTTCGACATGCAGTCCTGCAATCTCTACAAAAGCGGGAGTGACTGGTCGAATTCCATGAATTACATAATGGCTATTTACAAACAGCAATGCTATGTCCTTCTCGACTTCCCGAATATCCGGCATATCTTTCCGGAGGTATTTCCTCATATCATCAGTTTGAGGTGACGAATAGTAATTAAATAAGCGCGGCTGTATAAAATTTTGAACTGTGTTGGTCAATCGCTGCCAAAAGTTCGAAAGTACGGGATATTCTACTAATATGCAGGGGAAGAAGGAGCTGCTCGTGGGATTTCCTACAACTTCGTTCATGAAGGCGTACTCCTGGCTCGCCACGATTGCTATCAGTGGTACATTAAAAAAACGGCCAAACCCGAAGTAACAGCTTGAACCGAAATACTGAAAAATTTTATGTACATAATTAACTGATATACAATCTCGGATGAATCAATATTTGGATAACTATAATAGTCTAAAAACATAAGGTTATTCTGTTTTAGAGTTATCCATAAGAAATACAATTAATAAATGAAAGATTAAGACACAATAGTAGGAAAATGTAAATTACTTAGAATCCTGAGATTCATCAAAAAAATAAATTCCCTTATTTACTCACAAGGTAACATAGGTAACCCGAAAATTCAGAAAATTCTGAAACATTGTGCAAGTAGAGTAGTACATCTATAATATAAAACTATTTTTTATTTGTGCTAAATTTCGATTTAGAGGGGTGAAACCACCCCTCGAATAAACATGACATTTTTATTTTTAACAAATATTTTCTAAAATACAAGGCATATGAAAAAAATGGTTTATATAAAAGTTGTAGAATATTTTATTCTCTTTGCAACGGTGTATTCAGATTTTGCAAAAATTAAAAATTTTTGAGCTCTCTTTCCCCCATTTTGAACCCCCTTTTCTCCTTTCCCCTTTTAAACTTATTATCTTTACAAATGTTTAATTTTTTGTTAGGACAAAAATAAAGAGCATCGAATACCAAATCCATCCATATATAACATTAAAAAATTGTATCGATTAAATTTTGGAGAAAACAAGATGATAACATAGAGCGATAGGCAGCGCGCTTTATATAGACGTTTTTTATTTGAGCTGTACTCGATAATTGCTCTTGTACATCTTTTTTATACCGCAAGATGATAAGAACTTAATTTTAATAACATCATATACAATGTATTACATGAGATATGAATTTAAACAAAGATTAATTTGCTTATAAAACAATAGTAACATTTGTGTATGCTTTTATCACTTTATATTTGAATCGCTCTCGAAATAAAATTTATCTAAAGTGTGAAACTCTATTGATTTATTTTGTACAAATTTATTTTCTAATCACGTATATTTAAATAAATTTTGAAATTTGGACAACGAGAAGTGTGTGTGCGTGTGTGTGTGTGATGATGATGCATTAATAACTGCAATGTCAACATATTATTTCTAGGAAGGAGATTACTTGCAAAATCTAACATAACAGTGTGTGTGTATGTATCAGAAAACTTTTTAATAAAAATTTTTTATATTTTGAAACCGTGTATACATCTAATAACTTTATGTCTCTTTCCAAGGCAACACGATAATCCAAAGTCGTCAGTATAAACTTTGGTTGTTGACGCAAAAGATCTAACATTGATAGATCTTTCTATTTGAAACTTGGATAATAATAATAGTAATATATAAATAATAATTAAAATAGTCTAATAAAATAACACTTTAAGCTATGTACATATGCTGCTGTTGTTATTATTCATATACTATTGATTAGTTGTATACTATTGATTAGTTATTAACTAGTATTTTTAATTATTTTTATATTTCATGTAATTGTAAGTACATACTGATTTGGTTAAATAATTGAAAGCTGTCTAAAATTTACATTAACCCTTATTGTGCACTGTGGGGTCAAACAGATAAATAAATAAAATAAATCTATAAAATAAGATAAAAAATAAAATAAAATATAATAAAATAAATAAAAATAAGTAAAATATAGTAAAAGCTTTTACTCAGGGAAAAATAGCAGTTAAATAAACATCGCATCGATACTTATTAGATATCTAAAGCGTCTAAAAGACATCGATAAGACGTCGAAATGACGGTTTATTAGACATCGAAATGTTGTTTCATCGACCGTTTTTAGATCGACATAGGTCTTAATCTAGATTATATGTAGATAGACGTTTCATATAAACGTCTGGTAGACGTCGAATCGACATAATCTTTTTCGCTGGAATAGTTCGATATTATCATCTCGTTTTTTTCAAAATTTAATCGCGACAATTTTCTAGTGTTATATATGGATGGATTTGGTACTCGATGCTCTTTATTTTTGTTCTAACAAGTACTTAAAAATTTGTAAAGATAATGAATGGGGAAAGAGGGAGATCAAAATTTTTTCATTTTTGCAAAATTTGAATAAACCGTTGCAAAGAGTATAAAGTATTCTATCACTTTTATATGAACCATTCTTTCATATTCCTTGTATTTTAGAAAATTCGCTAAAAATGAAAATGTTATATTTTTTTGAGGAGTGATTTCATTCCTTTAAATCGAAATTTAGCAGAAACAAAAAATAGTTTTATGTTATGGATGTACTACTCTACTTGCATATAATGTTTCAGAATTTTCTGAATTTTCGGGTTGCCTATGTTACTTTGAAAGACAAATGATTTTGCAGTTATAGCGAAATAATATAGATACGAGAAATTTGCTAAAATGAATAAATGATTAACAAACACATATATTATGTTGTACTTAACTACAACACTATATTATGTTATACTTAATTAATATAGATAACAAAGACAGAATTTATATGTAAACTATTTGTCTAGTGAAAAATATCTATAATTTATAGCATTCTTTAATAGATGTGAGGTTTATACATTTATTTATCTTTTGTCGCTAATTTATTATCTGCCACAATCACTTTTATATAAGTTTAGCTGACTTTAATCTTTTTGCCATAGACAGACTTTTTAAACTAAACAGTACCGTAAGATGGGGCTACTTGTGACTGTAGGGATTACTTTGTGACACAGTGAATATTAGTCAATATTGATAATTATCACTATTGATCAATATTCACTGTGTCACAAAGTAACCCCTACAGTCACAAAGTAACCCCATCTTACGGTAGTTTAAGTAGAAATTCTCCTGTTATCTATATTGATCTATTCCTGTTATCTATATTGTTATCTATACTGTTATCTATATTGATCTGTTCCTGTTATCTATATTGTTATCTATACTGTTATCTATATTGATCTGTTCCTGTTATCTATATTGATTCTGTTCCTGTTATTTATATTGATTAAATACAGAACATCGCAATGTTTACTAGTTATTTAACTATCTTAGTAAATTTCTCGTATCCAAGTCATTTCCGCTATGATTACAAGGGGTTAAAATATTATTATTTATTATTTAATTAAATTTAATTTAATAAAAAAAAGTATATAAAAAAATTATTATTATTATAAATTATTAATATAAATTTGTTATTTATTAATATTATTTTATTATTTATATACTTTTTTAAGTATTACCTCTGTGATAACCAAATCATAAGGTGGATCGTTAGGTGGATTCTTGATGAACTTTTGCATCCTTTCGTGACCCAACAGCGCACATAAATCACCTCCAAAAGTAGTGGCAATATGAAATATTGTTGCAGCATCTATCTGCTTCGCATAATGTATCGAAAAACTATTTACAACTGCCTGTCTCGTTCCATGTAGGTCTACTATATCCGTATAATTCGCTATAGAAGTTTTAGATGGAAAATGACTGATCATGTCGATCTGATGGCCATATTTCGCCAAAGCTCTACATAGAGCTCCCGTAATTTGATAATGACTTTTTCCATTGTAAGGAAACACACACAAGATCCGATATCCTTGAATTGGCATCATATTTAATAATAATAGCGGCAGCAATGAATATCGAAAATACTTCATTTCTTCAGTTTTTTGTAAAACACCGTAGAAAATAATTGCTTTGCAATAATCAGTCGTTAAAGATAAAATTGACAGAGTTGAACAAGTGTTTGTATTTTCAGAAATGCATATAAAATATATATACACTCTATAAAGTGCTTCACACTATATCTTTGTTAATTGTTGTTTGTTTTGCACAATTGTTAAAAAATATACAAAGGAAATTATATATTTTATAAATGGTTACACACAAAATTTAACTGTATCAAACACACTTAGCTTATTTCACTTTCCGAAGTCACACTATGACTATCTTTGATGAGTCTCATGTCATGAGAGATATTCTCAGCTATCTACCATATATGTAGTACAATTTATGCTTGTAATAGTGACCAAGTAGGGGGAGATTTAATGTTCAACGACTTAATATTCTTGCGCTAATTACTTGTTTACTCATTAATTGTTCATAATGAATACATTATGATACATATATTTATGTAGAAACTTTAACAATAATATTTTGTGATTTAAAAATCAATAATGTATCATATATTATCTAGACGGAAAATGACTGATCATGTCGAAGTCGGAAAAGTCATTTTCCGCAGTAACATTTTACGTATGTATATGTATATACTTACATATATATATATATATATATATATATATATATATATATATATATATATATATATATAT